GAAATTGAGTGAAAACCATTCGTTGAAAGTTTTTTCACAATCTTTGGCACTTCATCTCTAGATCGCATAGGATACACCCAAGTATATTTAGAGTAGTCATCAGTCAAAGTAACGAAATATTTATATCCAGTCTTAGTAGGTAGAGAAATAGGGCCCCAAACATCAGAATAGACAATATGAAAAGGAAATTCAGATATTTTATTTCTTAAAGGAAAGGAATTTCTATAATGTTTGCTCAATTGGCATGTATGACACTGCAATTTACTAACTAACAATGACTTAAACAACTTAGGAAACATAAGTTTTAAAGACTTAAAACGAAAGGTGACCAAGACAATTATGCCACAAGTAGGCATGACTCTCACTAGAAAAGCTTAAAGATTCTGTAGCCACAAGACCAACTTTATTCTCCAACACGTTGAGTTCATCAACCATGCTTCCTCTACCAATCATCTTCGCCGAGGTCAAATCTTGAAATACACACGAAGAAGGAAAGAAGGTACCGAATAATTCAAGGAATGAGTAATACTGCTAATGGAAAGTAAATTGATAGGTAATTTAGGAACATGCAGCACATTAGAGAGGGTAAGACCAAGAGGAAGGAAGATGGTTCCTTGACCAGCTATGGTGGAATAAGACCCATCAGCCAGTCTCTCCTTATCTCTCCCAGAAAGGAGGTTATATGCTTGAAATAAATTTGACTTACCAGTCATGTGGTTTGAGGCTCCAGAGTCAATTATCCAAGGGTAATCAGATGTATGAGATGACACATGGAAGGTAGTGGCAGTGTTACCTGATGTAGACGCAAAGGAGGTAGAAGGAGTAGGGCCAGAATCCATCTGGTGAAGTGTCCTACCATATAATTCCAAGTGGTCACGAAAGGAGTTGATGATCTCTTCCTTGGGGTCAGAACCAGAGTGTCGCTCTTGGGGTACCATGGGACTAGTCTCTTGAGATGCCACATTTATTGAGTTATATTTCTTCTGACTCTGCTGGGTTGGCTTCTTACTCGGATCAGACTTCTTACTCAATTCTTGAGCCCATTTCGGCTTGCCATGAAGATCCCAACATGTGTCTCTAGTGTGCCTGAACTTTTGACAGTGAGTGCACCAAAGAACCTCCAACATTTGAACTTGTACCCCCTCAGACAGCTAGTGCAATCGGTTCCCTTTCTGTACAATTCACCACACTTCTTCTGCTCTCTTCAGATTGAACTAGGGCATAAACTTCTTGGACTGAAGGTAGGTTCTTACTTCCTAAGATTTGTACCCTCATGGATTCATATGTAGGATTCAGCCCCAAAAGAAAGGCAAATACCCGTTGCTGGGAAACAAGTGATTTATAGGCCTTTGCATCCTCATCGCACTTCCAATTCACATTTTGATAATGATCTAGTTCCTTCCAAATTGATGTTAAGTCTGAATAGTATATCGAGAGACTCCTCTCCCCTTGCTTGCAAGTGGAGGATTCTGCTTGTAATTGATATATCTTTGCATAGTGTCTCTATTCTGAATAGGTAGATTTTGCTTGTTCCCATATTTCACAAGCTGTTTCAGCCCACATAAAGGTCTTCCTTACTTGTGGCAGCATGGAAACCAAGAGCCATGACATCACCATGCTATTTTCTTGGTCCCATCTATTATGTTCAGCACTACCAATCATTGGTTCCTTGATTTTACCATTAATATACCCAATTTTTCCTCTAGCAGTAATATAATATTTAATTCCCCTAGACCATTCAAGATAGTTCAGTCCATCAAAGGGGATTACAGCCATGGGGAAACTCATCCATCCCCCCACTCATTCCATTTTGACCTCCTGAAATTCCTGAAGTTGCAGAATTCTCAAAGGACATAATTCAAACACCTTTTAGACCTTACACACACCTTATGATCCCTCCTATCACCAAACAAACAGTCCTAGAAACACCAGTTGCAATATAGACACAATCTGACCACAAACCAGCCTAGATTGTCCAAAAAAGGCAAGATTTTAGGGTGATCTCAGAGCTGATCTGACCTAGCAGTTACACTCCACCAACTTCCAGACACTCCAAACACATCGACTGCTAGGAGGGGTCATAAACCAGTATGGTTACACCACAAGGGTTAAAAGATCAGGTCATCCACGACCTACAGATCTGAATTCTCAGACATGGGATCACACGATCCATAAAAAAAGAGGTTCGAACCTCACAGCTTCTCAGAAAACATTCAGCAGTCTGGAATCATATAGTTTCTTCTTGGTACATGACCAAGGAAATGGAAAAAAACACTAAAAAAAATTTGTACCAGTCGTAGGTCTGCACTTTTTTTATCTCAGTTGAAGAAGACAGCAGGTTGAAGCTTGTTCGATCTGCTCACAGGCCTAGCAGAACCTCTCTGATACCATATTAACAGCCGAACAGAGGATAAGAGAGGTAGGAGAAGAGAAGAGGAAGAGAGGAGAGAAGAGAGAAGAGAGAGATTTGGAGTCTGCTACAGTGCCGCTACAGTGTTGGCAGCGCTAGCTTATATTAATATATATATATAGGGTGACCATAATTAGAAGGGAAAGGACCCTTATGCCCCTACTTAAGTTACAGCATAAAAAACAAAAGAAAAAACTGCTTTAATTTGTCCAAACGGACCCTAACTCAGCAGAATACAAACATAATAAATAAAGTTAACATTCCAACAGAACCTAGTGTGTAATTTTTTTGAGGAGTTAAAGAGGTTGGAAGGCTATGATGTTGATGAAGAGGATCATGGTGAGGAGCAAGTAAACATTAAATCGGGGGAGGAAGGAACTAACAATAAAGATGGGGAAGGAAATATAGTCATGAAAGTAGCCAAGGATTTTGGTTTAAAAGTAAAAAGAAATAAAAAAATTGTAAAGTTAACACTAGAAAAGAGGGGGAAAAAGCAAATTAGGAAGAAGAAGTTTGAAGGGGAGACGTTAAAATTGAATGTGGAAGGTGACTTAGAATTTAGTGGGAGGGGGAATAGAAGGAAGGGAACAAAATAGAAGGGTTTGGGGTTGAAGCAGGTTTGAGAAAAGAGTTCCATGAAGATTGTTAGTTGGAATGTTGGAGGTTGGGTAGTGCTAGAAAGAGGAGGCTAATTAAAGAATTGTTGAAAAGGAAGAGGCCAAATATGACATTGCTTGAAGAAATGAAGTTTGTAGATTTTTAGATAAAAGGTGGGTGAGGAATATTTGGACATCAAGGGGCATAAGCTGGTCAGTGGTGCCTTCTTGGGGAGCTTTTGGAGGGTTAGTTACTCTATAGAGGACTGATATGGTGGAACCCTTAGAAGAATTGGTGGGTAGGTTCTCGATATCTGTGAAATTTAAGAATGTTGTAGATGATTTTATTTGGGGAGGGGGACTTTAACGTGATTAGGTTCACTGATGAGTCAAGTAAGCCAATCAACATGTTTCTACTAGAATGAGGAAATTTAATGATTTTGTGGATGTCTACAAGTTAAAGGAGATTCCTTTGCAACAAGTTAGATTTACATGATCAAACTAGTAGAAGTTGCTGATAATTGATTCTAATATATGCTTTGTGAAGAAAAGTAGTAGAAGCTGAAAGGTTTCAGCAAGAGAGAAAGAAAGAGAAGAAGAAAAGAGAGTGGGATGTCGCCAAAAGTTGAATTTATCTGGCCGCCCACCCCTCTTGATTTATATACTTAGATAAAAGAATGAAAGATTACAAAGATACCCTTAGTAGGATGGCTACTTTAAGTAGCTGAACAATCACAACTTAAAATTAACATAAGCTAATGGGTTTTGGTGTAAACCTATTCCACCCAAGATGCGTTTTGTTGGAAAGGTTTCCATGGAACGATAAACACTTTGGAAAATTTGCAGAAAAGGGGTGAATAGAGCTCATTTGTTTTGGATGCAGCTGTAATTTATGTCTTTTTGTATTAGGTATTTCAGGGCTTTCAGGGATTATTTCTGTTAGTTTATTTGTAATGTAATGTAATGCTTTTGTTTGCTCTATCTTGGTGAGGGTGCCAGCTCACACCTCTCATTGGATTGCTTATAATGTTTCTATTTATTCCATTAATGAACTTATTTTAATTATAAAAGAATGCTTGCAAATGGGATGGCGGATACCCTAGCTAAACAGGGGGCAAATAGATCTACATTGTACTGGGCAGAACTGTAGCTGATTGTATGTGGGAGCAGATTAGATTAATGCTTTTCTGCTACCTATAACTTTTGTAACTGATTGTAACTTTTTCTATGGTATTAATTAAAGATTTCTTGCTGATAAAAAAAAAAAAAAAACTGTATGCCTGTACCATATGTTACCCTGGAGGATGGCTGTTTGTATGGTGCCTAGAGGCATTGGGAGATATTAAATTTGGTCAGTTTGTACTTCAGCTTTCAAGAAAACCAAATGAAGAAAGCGCTTCTGGTTCTGGTAGAAAATGGCTCTTGATTCCTAGAAGTCTTTTAAAATGGGAAAAAGCACCTAAATGCATAAGGGTCTTCCCCAGAGCAATCTGAAAACTAATGGAACAAAAAGAAATTTATTTTTGGTATTGCATAGCAAGTTATATCCTTTTGCACACCAAGTAAAATTATGAAGCTAATTTAACCAGTAAATAAAATTGTAGATGTTGGATCCTGTAAGAGTAAGAGTTCTTTAAAAGAAAAAAGGTAAAACATAAAAGAAAAGGAAAACACTGCATCGTTATAATTTTGTTAGACACCGACTTTTATATATCTTGCTGATTTATGTATTTCTTTTTTTTTTTTTTTTTGGTTTTCAAATGCTATTAAATCATATTTTGTGCCTCCTTTTTACTGGTAACAACTGAGTTGCTTGATTTTGCTATTTCCTTTTACTGCTGTATGCTTTCTTATTGTGTCTTATCATTTATTTCAAGAAATAACTACTTCACTGTAGTTTGATTATAAGTGTTTATCAAACTATAAAAATATGAATGCTTTTTCTTTGAAGTGCTTGTGAATTTGGAAATTTGGTTTATTGTTTTTGCTTTCAGCAACCAGTGTCCCCTAAAGGCAAGACATCTAAGAAGGATTCCCCACAAAAGAGGTCACATGAAGCATTGGAGTTAGACAGCAATGTGGTAGGATATTGCAATTTGCAATTCATTCTCTAGAACATCTTTGTTCAGGAACTAGATCCAATAAGATTGGGATGCTACTGATTTGTCCAATAAGTTGAAGGTCAATTGTGTTTATTCTTTAGCTTCATCTGTCATTGGTACTTCAGGAGGTTACCGATTTTTTTGATAAGTTAAAAATAAAATATATTAAGAAAAAGAAAAAGATTACAGAGACAGTGATAAGGCACCACCCAACAAAAACAAAGAAGCAAAGAAAATGGTGTAAAAAGCATTAAGACCAATTGTGGCATGGAAGCAAAGAAAATGACTTACTCAGAGGGTGCTTGCAATGAACTCTGGCTTTCCCCCCATTTTTATGTTGGTGGAGCACTTGAGGTCCATAAATAGTGGCTACAACTTCAGCCCTTCTCTATTGGAAGGACAGTCTATTTATGCTTTTAATTGATTCCTGTGAGGTCAATTGTGAATCAATAGCATTTTTAGGCTGGTGGATTAGTTGTAATTTGTAATTTTTGGTTTCATAATTAAAATGTTGATTATTATTTCATGGGAAAATAAGTATAAGAATAGTGCAAAAGAATCTTAATATTTTCAAAAACTAACAGATTGTTATCATACAGGTCAACTAATTAATGTATAATTAATGTTTTTTTTTTTTTTTTTTTTTTTTTTTTTTTAACTCTGAAGGATGTGTTAATTTATTATATGGATAAACCACTTAGTATTTAGTGTTCCTTTTCTATGGCTATTGTTGACATATGGTTGTTTTTGGGCATATGCTACTTTATGTTGACTTTAGATGTGCATTGTCATGGTTATGTAGATATATTACTTTAAAGTAATGGTTGTAATCTTGTAAATATATAGAACTTTGGCATAAGCAGTTTTAGGCATGGACAAAAGATCCTCTTGTTATTTTTTGGATTTGTTGTATTAGTTGATTGGTTTTGGTTATATGATAAGAGCTAAATGTATATTGATGCTTATTCACCATTTCTTAAAAGTCTGTTTCATGTTAAAAATTTACACCATGTTAATTATTGTATCTGTAAACTTACAATCCTTTCATGCTTCCATGAATTTTCACTGACAAGGACTTGGTTTTGTACCAAAACTGAAATTCAGGACTTGATGCTAGGAATTAGCATATGAAATAAGCTCTCATGCTAGATTTCCTACACATTCTGTTTGAGAATCGATAGGTTTGAGGGCATTCTAGGACAAATCTTTCAGGGCATCGATAGGCTTGATTTTGTTCTTTTTTTATATGAAATATTAACATTCATTGAATTTGATTAATCTCTATAGGATAACATGCCCAATCCTTTTTAGTTGGGTTTCTGACCCCCAAAAGGTTTACAATTAAAATTCAGCCCACAAATATATAGGCTTGATTTATTCTCAATATGGTATTATCCATAGTAATATTCAAACCATTTTGCAGTTAGGTGTTGGCTCTATGTCTGTTGTGTCAGATCCCTTGAGGAAGCATGCCAAATTAGAGCATTCAGTTGAGGCACAAGAAACCTCTAAAATTGTATGATTCTGTCATAATGCCTGATGAATACTTTTTTTTTTTCCATTAAAGAAGAGAAAACATCCTATTGTTGAGGAAGGAAAATCCAAGGCTTAAAATGTTGGTATTGCTGGAAATATTGGGCATCTAAATAAAAGAAACATGTTCTGTTCTGTCATTTTGTGGCCCATCAACTATCTAGTATCCCTTTAGGTGCAAACCCTAAGGAGAGCAGTTTCTGGATTCCAGTGTTAGAAAGGTTTGCAAAGAGGTTGGAAATTTGGAAAAGGAATTACATTTCCTTGGGAGGCAGGATAACTTGATAAAATCCACACTTGCTAATTTTCCAGTCTATTTCCTCTTCGTCGTTAGGGTTTTGCAGGAGGTGAAGAAATTAGAAAAGTTTATGAGGGGCTTCTTAAGGAGCCAGAGAAAAGAAAGGACCATCAGATTAAGTGGGAGATTGCTTGTAGGAACAAGAGGAGTGTGGGCTAGGAATAGGGAATGTTGAGAGAGATTGTGGAGTAGGGTGGTGGAGAGTTGAGTATTCATGGTCTCCTTGGTAATGGCTGGGAAGTTGGTGTCTGTGCTGGGCAACGTTGGTTTCTCCTTGGCCATTAAATATTTCCTCTTGTACACTCAATTTTGATTCTTATGATCTACCTATTTTCTTCTTGAAAAATTGAAAAACAAATCTCAGAAATTCATTTATTTTGGTCCCATTGCCAACTTGATATGTTACCTTCACATTTCATTATTATCTATAGCACTTGGGTTTTAATTATAGTATATGGTATGACAAGGCACCTTTGCCGCAGCTAATTCATTACAGGTTATAGAACAGAAGCCTTTTTTCTTTAAGATGAGAAAAAAAAGGGGAAGGCCTGCTAATTGTTCAAATTTTCTTTGCTAAATCTGATACTTGGGGATGAGAAAGGCTGAGACACTGTTTGGAGAGATCTCTCTCAAGTCTCAATCTAAAGATTTTGATAAGATAGTCATTTTGTGTTTCTTCTTTCTTGGCTAACCAAAGGTTATTGTCCATCTTCAGGGCCTGTTATTGCACTAAAAACCTCAAATTTGATATTTGTTTTTTCATGTCTAATGGAATTGAGATGTCCATGCATTAAAGACCTTACTCTTCTTGCAGAATCTGATATTTGAAATCTGTGTGATCCTTGGGTAATAAAAATGTTTCAACTGTTAGTAATTAGTAGATGGTCTGGTGGTTCCCTTGGTTTCAGTACTGGCTCTAAATTTGCAATTCAAATTTCAGAAAACCCTAGTCCTCATTTCCTACAGCTTTAAAGGGTCCGGCTGGGCAACTATTACCATCTTGGCTTTAGAACCTTAACACATCTGAGCACGTCCTGAGGTTAGAAGTCCCAATTGGATGGCTTCAGCCTAAGTAGGAGTCCTTGCACTATTCTCCCAAGGAAGGTGCTATTATTGACTCAGTATTAAGACTTAATACTCTTATATAATGGAATCCACCTCAACACAGTGAGAATTGCTTAGCCATTAATAAATTCTATTTGGAGTTTTTTCCAAAGATCAACTTCTATTGCTTAGCCATTAATAAATTCTATTGGACTACCCATTTATCTTTCATTTTTCTAACCAGTGATTATGCTCTCTGTAATTGTTCAAGTTCAACTGAATGAAAATATAAACTAGCAAACTGGAAAGAATATCTGAGCAACTGTAACTCATATGGTGACTGGTGAGACATCCTTGATGCTAGTGGTTTTGTTCAAAGGCTAAAAGGTGTTATGCTATATAACTCTATGTGATGAATTTGTCAGTCAATGCATAACTTACATTTCCATTGTTCTGTTGCACATGGACCTGATCACCATGTACATATACAGTTGTCCTGCATTCTTGAGTTCGATGGTGCTTCAAAAGGAAATCTTGGGAAAGCTGGTGCTGGAGCTGTACTTCGAGCTGAAGATGGAAGTGTGGTATGCAATTCCTTGAATAGATGCCATGTTTTTTTCCTACTAATAACTTTTCTGAAACTTTAGCTTTCATTTTTTGTGAAGATTTATCGATTGCGTGAAGGTGTGGGTGGTACTGCAAACAACAGTATTGCTCAATATCGAGCAATGCTCTTAGGATTAAAATATGCTCTCAAGAAAGGAGTTAAGCGAATTCGCGTGCAGGGTGACTCCAAAATTGTTTGTATGCAGGTCTGTTTATTTTCCCCAATTGCATCAATGTTTTAATTGCTTTGTTTCCTGTGTTTTTGCTTGACTAATAGTGTTTATTTTAGTCCTTGCCTCTTTCATGGTTTAAAATGTCCCTAATTTCCCTAATATTTCCATGACATATTTCCATTTCTATGGGTAGCGACACAAAATTTTACCGGAATCAACATATCCCCAACGAACACTACCAACACTATGTGGAGTACAAGAGATAGTTTCCATGACATACATATTCCCCAATGGACACTACCAGCACTATATGGAGTACAAGAGATAGTATTATAACGTAAGTTGGTGATAACATTTTAGATATGTGGAGTAACAATGTTATTGCCTGCCTTACACGATTACCACTTTGAGCTAGCTCAATATTCGTTTCAAGCATGAAGTTAAATATTAGCTTTTCCCTGTGTAATAGATTATTTGGTTGATATATTACAACCATTTACATTTTCTATGAGTTCAAATTTTCTTTAACTCATTAAGCTTTGAATCTTAAGGTTTACAGGGCAGCTTCTGAACGTATTCTTTTGTCTATAACCTTAGTTTCTTAGCTTTGTTTAGTGATTTGGAACAAGATAATAATTTAAAAGGGTGTGTCTATGCTGCTTTTATCATTTCATAAAATATCATTCCATCTATTGCATATTTTTCAATGTTTCCACCATGTTTATAATTTTTACAATATTTCCATACGATATTTTTTACATTTCCAAAATTTTTGAATATGTACTTGCATTTTAAACCTTGGCTTCTTTTATTGATCCTTCTCTCTTTGAATATGTACTTGCATTGACATCCTTTTCTTTTCCTTTTAGTATATATAATTAGAAACCAACAATAAGTCACTTGAAACAATTCCATACAACAACATCCTCATGTCAATTTCTCTTCTGTCCAATATGCTAAGTGCCCTAAGAGGAAAATAAAGGCCACTTCAAAACTCCTACACAACTTCTCCAGAATGCTACATTTATTGTTTGAAAGTCAGAAGACCTGATGGATAACTGCAAGTTTATTATTAATGCAGAAAAGTTAATATTTACAATGATGTCAAGCATCCCAAAGGTTAGGTAGATGAGGAAGCCACCTCACAGATTATTACTATACAGTATCTGTTACAAGTTGGTTTTTCCATAAGAACCTTTATCTGTTACTTTGCTCTAGTTCCATGAACACCTTAACATACTCTTCGTCCCCCTATGAAGGAATCAAGAATGACCTAAAACTCTCACCTTCTCTTTCTCTAGCAGTCTAGCTTTTCTATTTGTCACACTTCTCAAGTCTATCTCTTTATTAATTTTAACAACTTCATCAATTAAAACGATCAGCTTGCTGCTCCACTAATTTCTCCAGACTCCAATTCTATCCCTCCATTGCCAACATCCTCAATGTCTTTTGAATTCTAACTATCAACTTCTATATCTGCCCCTAAATTTGACAAATATTCTTAAAAGCCAATTTCTTCTATCAACACAAGCGACATTTAGTTATACTTCCTGAGTGGAGCATAAATTTGATCTAGTTGCAGCTCTAATTCTTTTTCATTCTCAAATTTTATCTTCTTTTTCCAAGTCTGTCCAGTTCCTTGATGAATTACATCAGTTATTTTATTTCCATTGTTTGGCTTCTAACATGTTTTTTATGTCTTCTGGATGGTAGGGCTGTCAATGGACTGCAAAAGTCTGAGACCTGATTTGACTTTGAATCTGATTCTCCTGGGTTTGGATGTTAGAACTTGCGTCTGATTAATAATTGGTTTAGATGCCGATTGAACCCCATCCGATCTGATTAAAGTCTGGGTCTGCTAAAAGGTTATACATAAATGTAGTATAATTATGTATATATAGATATTATATACAATTATATGAAGTTCATAACTGATAAGTTTAATGTTTTGTATTTATATACATTTATTATATATGTATAAATTAACAATAATTAGTTTATTTTTATTTTTTTACTTTTTCTTCAGTTTTTGTCATTTTAAACACAATAAGATGGATACAGATCTGAAATCTGATATTTTGGATCTGGCTTAGAAGTTTGATAATAGGATTGGATGCAGATATAGCTAGATCCAAGCAGAATCCGATCTGATTTAAGCCCTACTGGATGGAGTGCTCTGATGTGATGTCTAGATTCTAGAATATTAGTTCTATCTCAGCTTACCTGGTACTAATTAGGGAATTAGTATGATTGTTAAGATATGCATCTTAGGTGCTGGACTAATTTAAAGATGGTTCCTCCTACTTATTTGGCGTGTATTCTCTTTCATCTATCATGCTCTTTCTTCACTGTTTGACAATTGTTCTTTAATGAAATTTCTATTGTTATTCATTAGAAAAAAAAGCTTAAAAATACTGTCGCTACTGATGTGTGTGGACTGTGGTACTTTAACCCTATTTATGTATTTCTCTCTAGTAGACTTTTCTTCTTATTTTGTGGTAATAGATTCCTATTGAATTCTTTTCTTCCTCTACTATATTCTGGAACAGGTTCAGGGTCTATGGAAAACCAAGAACCAGAACATGTCGGACTTGTTAAAGGAGGTCAAGGAGCTCAAAGATAAATTTCTGTCTTTTGAGATTAGTCACGTTCTCAGGGTACACAAATTCTTTGTGTTTCAATTCCAATAGTATTTGTTATCAGTATCTGGATAATTTTATACATTTTAGGAATATTTGAACTCTGTCATCTGCTAGAGATCTAAAAGGATTATAATGCAAAATTAATAATTGCTGCATTTCTGGCCTAATTGGTAATATAAATTAATAATTATCACGTCGATGGATCCTGTTGTTTGTAGTGAAGTAAGCAGAAATATATCATTGTTTATGTTGTTATGGTGCTAACAACCTGAATGGTGGAATCTGCTACATTTTGATTTGATTCTCCCCTTCTGGATTTTCTTTTTTTACTATTAATAAGTAAGCAAATTACATGCTACACTGATGCTATCATTGTTTATGTTGTTATGGTGCTAACAACCTGAATGGTGGGATCTGCTACATTTTGATTTGATTCTCCCCTTCTGGATTTTCTTTTTTAACTATTAATAAGTAAGCAAATTACATGCTACACTAATGCTATGACACAACTTTTAGAAAATTGATTGGAATATAATAAAGTAGATTGTCTTCTTGCTTTGGGATGCTGATGCTGATGTTTTTTGTTGGTTCATTGCTTTTATATATTCACCGGCTTTCTCTGTGTTTATCACTTTATCTTGGTTCTTCATAAATTTATCCCACTCAGAAACTTCATTGTGTTCGTTCTGAAGGACTTCAATTCTGATGCTGATGCTCAAGCAAAATTGGCTGTCAATCTTCAAGGTAAGATACTCAATTCCTCATCTAGTCCTATTCTGTTAATTATGGAAAGTTGATTGGATGCATCTACCTCTTCAGATGATGAAGTTCAAGTGGAGTGAAAAGTAACTTGTGAATAATCAACAACAGCTCCATTCTTAATGTTTCTGCTGGAGAAATGGACAGAACATGAAATTACTACCTTATACTGCAAATGGGGTCAAAGATTAATGACTTTGTGATCCCATAGTCTGGCCTGTTGGTGAGCGATGCCAATGTGACAACAGTTACCTGTGCCTGGATGGTACTTACTGGATACAATTTTAGCATGCCCCGACTTTGGGCTTTATTGAGTATGGTGTCTACCTTGGAATTTTTTAGGAAGGCTGATACAGTTTTGTGCATTGGTGGGAAAAAATTTAAGGATTTCAGTTTGAGCTTCATTGAGAACGAGACAATACTCTAGTTTAAGGATTTCAGTTTGGTGCCTCTGTTTCACAAGGGAGGAATTTCAAGGGAAAAGAATTTATTATTATCTGTACTTAAGTTTATTAAAATGACTATTTATTTCAAGTCTAGATCAGCTGATGTGTATAAATCAATCCCATGTTGTGCAATGTTTTTTGGTTTTGTTGAAATTGAACTGAATAAATTGGTAGTGGTCCATGAAAAGTTCTAGCTGGAACTGAGGTTCTGTTTGTTTGTGGGGCAAATCTGAATCTCATATAAAATTTGACCAGGTTCAGTTTTGCATCTGCTTATTTTTGTAAGGGAAAATTTCGTAAGTGGTTTATGAAATTGATTGACTCTACCTTTACTGTGAAAGTACCCTTAAGTTCTCTGACAATTGAATAATTCCTCTACTCTGCTCACATGCCACATCATGTGACTATTATATTTTGAGAAAATGATAGTAATACCCTTTCAGTTATTTGCTTATTTGTTCTGTTATTCTCTTCGGAAAATATAGAAATAAGAAAGCAATAAATCGACCATTATATATCGGTTCTAGGGGTTGTAATGCTTGAAATTCCATTTGCAGCAGTTGGAAATTGATTGAGAACCAAGTCATCAACCATTGTGCAGTTAAGTAGTATTTTGTAGTAGCAGCGAGTAAAGGTAACAAAATGAAGAGAGCATCATCAGATGAGGATCGATTTCTCTATGCCCAAAGTGGATATAGAGGAGCGGCAAGCCCTTACACCTACAACGACGCCAAAGGAGGAAGTTGAATGGGTGCCGCTTTAGAACCATCCCATCTTTAGCACCGGTAGCTCTAGCGTCACCTATTCCTCTGCATCTCGAATGCCTCCTATCAACTTCATTTCCTAGGGCGGAGCCTTCCGCCTTTACTTATAGGACTCCGACAAGTGATGCCTCCATATAATCTTTGTTTGTTTGGGCGATCTGAAGCCCGCTTTGGTTGTTGCGCCTTTGTCCTCTAAGATCAGTGCTATCTCCCTAATTTTTCAAGGTTGTGGTTGGGTTCAAGGTTCGAAGTATTTACATGTATCGGCTTATATCGGTCAATACGTATCGTTATGGGACCCTTCCGATATGCTCCTACAGTGGGTGTATCAGGGGTCTGACCGATTTAGGGGTTGGAGGAGCCCTAAACTGGCCTCCTAAACTGGTTGCGAAAAAAAAAATAAAAAAAAAAACAATAAAAATGAGTATTGATTTGTCGTATCGGGCATATCGATATTTTGAACCTTGGTTGGGTTGTAATGACAAGCTGAGCGCCTTAGGGGAGTCCATGTTCGTTGAAGCCTAAGCTTTATTAAACTCAATCCACCCTTGTCATTGGCATTTATTGCATAAACCCTAATTCCACTTCTTATTTTCTAAATTCAGCAATTGGGTCATGGAATTCTGTTTTGCGTACTGGAGCATTGCATTAATATTCTTTTGTTCCATGGTTCTGTTATTCTTCATTAAGACTGAGTCCTTAATAAATATATTCCGGTTAACCCAAAAACTACTGGGTTTGTTGTTTACACATGATGACAACGACAATGATGATAATCGTCGGAGCCACAATTTGTTTTATTTTCCTAAAATTTTTCATCAATTGGGTTTTATTTTGAAAATTTGAGGAATAGTGGACGGAAAATTCAACATTTCATTTTTTGATAATGTTAATTGCCAAAAAACTTGGGGGATACTTTAAGTCAATATATAAATAGGATAGAGTTAGTCAATTTCCTAAGCCATAGGAGTACTTTAAGAAATTTCCCCTATAATTTCTATTTGTTTGTGATTATGATTTTGTCTCATTTGTACTGCCACTCAGTATCCACTTTGGTGTACTTGTGTTGGATTGAATCGAGATTCAAGGGTCTATTTAAATGGAAATAGAAATCAGAAGCTTCCCTAGGTTATTAGTTATACATGGAAGTATTTTGTCTTGGCCTTGGCTACTTTGTTGGAGGGATGGACCAGGACTCTTGTTCCAGCCGTCCAGGAGCATTGGCTGGTTGAAAAGTGATACATTGCCACATAATTTGAATTGTGTCACCCCTCCGTCCCACGTGTATGGTGGAACCCATGTAAAACCGCTCTAAGCTGGACAAATTTTAATGGAAAAAAGTTGTGCTCCTTGAATTTTTGATGCAGGTATCTTAAATAACATGCCATGAATGGACACGTAGCCAGCATTGTATTAAATGCTGCTTTAGTTATTTCCTTAGGTTGCATTTGTTTGTGGTATAATAAAACCTCATCGATGTAAAAATCCATCAATGGAGTTTCACACCGAACTCTTTAAAATTTCTAAACCATTAGGGGTAGATAGGAGAGTTAAGGCGTGTGCCTCCCTTTCTTTCTCACTAAGGAAAGGAACCCTGTGTCCTCGGCGGCCACATACCTCGGTGCCCTCCTCTGCCCACCTCTTGATAGACGTGCGCCCCTCCTTGGCTCGGGGCATCGTCACCTTGGACGGAGACCACACCTCGGCGACCCCCTCTGCCTGCCTCTCAACGGATGTGCACCCCTCCTCGCCAGAGATCTCACCTCCTCAGCTCAAGGCATCGTCACCTCGGATGGTGGCCCCCTCTGCCCGCCTCTCCATAGACACGCACCCCTCCTCGCCAGAGAACTCACCTCCTCAACTCAAAGTATCGTCACCTCAGACGGCGACGACACCTTGGCGGCCCCTTCTACCTGCCTCTCAACGGACACGCACCCCTCCTCACCAGAGAACTCACCTCCCCGGCTCGGGGCATCGTCACCTCAGACGGCGACCCTCTCTGCCTGCCTCTCAACAGACACGCGCCCCTCCTCGTTAGAGAACTCACCTCCTTGGCTTAGGGCATCATCACCTCGGACAACGGCCCCCTCTACCCGCCTCTCGACGGACGTGTGCCCTTCCTTGCCAGAGATCTCACCTCCTTGGCTCGGGGCATCGTCACCTTGGATGGCGGCCACACCCCTCGACGGCCCCCTCTACTTGCCTCTCGACCAAGGCACGTCCCTCCTCACCAGAGATCTTACCTCCTCGGCTCAGGGCATCGTCACCTCGAACGGTAGCCACTAGCCCACTAGACCTGTTCATGGGCCAGGTAGCCCGACGGGCTGGCTCAGCCTAGTCCGTTATTAAGTCGGGCTTGGTCATAGTTTTAGGCTTKCGGGCTTAGGCTCGGACCTAAAGCACCGGGCCCAACTTTTTTCGGGCCAGGCTCAGGCTTTCTCAAAAAATCCCACCCCGAGTCCGAACCCAAGCCCGACTTGATACAATATATTAAATAATAAAAATATATTTTATTTAATAATACATATACAATATTTTTTTGTTCTTCTTCTCTTTTTTTCCAAGTAATAGTGAGATGTTTATTATTTTTGAGTTTTTAAGGTTTTTAACATAAATAAAACACATTTTTATTGAATAAAAAAAGAAAAAATTTATATTTTCAAATTTCTGGCCGGGCTCAAGCTCGGGCCTGGGCTTTCAGCTTTATATGAGGGTCAGGCTCGGGCTCGGCCTAAGTGTATTCTGTTGATACATATACAAGCCCGACCCAAACCCGACCCGGCTCGACCCATGAACAGGTCTAACAGCCACACCTCGACGGCAACACCTCGGATGACAGCCACACCCCTCGGCAACCCCCTCTACCTGCCTCTCGACGGAAGCACGCCCCTCCTCGCCAGAGATCTCACCTCCTTGGCTCGGGGCATCGTCACCTCGAATGGCAGCCACACCCCTCAACGGCCCCCTCTGCCCACCTCTCGACGGCCACACCCCTCGATGACCCCCTCTCCAAAATTGAGGCCAGCACCTCCACGCCCGAAGACTGCTCTCACCAATTAAGCCGTAGCCAAGGCCCTCGCCATAGAAGGCTACTCAATGCCTCCCAACAAGGATGACACACTCTCTTTGGCTGAAGCCAAGGTCCTCAGCTAAGACCTCCACTGTGGCCTCGAGAGTAGGGGTAAATGATGTAGGTGCTTTAGGAAGGCCAGTGGCACGCCAACATGTGGCTGAGGGCGGTGCGCAACGCGAGACCAATGGCATGACCACACGTGACGATCTCAGATGATTGTGCTCCCAGGGTTGGATCGCATCCTGATCGTCCACACCCGTCTACCTCCGGGCGGTCTCAAGTATAAATAGGGGCCCCCCTCAAGGTAATCATCTGAAATCTGGGCTGGAAACCTACTACTCCAAGCACCCTAGCTTCTTGGCGACCTCGTTTGAACTACTCTACTCAGGCCTCGTCCACCCTCTTTGCTATGCCCTCACTAACTTGTCCATCGGAGTCCCCGTCTTGAGTTAGCACCTGGGCCCTCTGACATTCCCTTCTCCATAGGTGCTCGGCCTCGGCCGACCTTGGACACGCGCAAGTCCTCGGCCTTGGCCGACTTCGGACAGACTCCACTGGTCCTCGTCCTCAACAGCCCTCGGACTCCATTGGTCCTAACACTATATATCATTGGTCCTATATATCCCATCGTCTAAACTCATAAATAACAAATCCATTCTCAACTATTGGCCAATATTATATCATGATTTCAACCAATCATGTTGAAGATATCACAGATGGTATACTTTCACTGGTTCTTATTTCAGAAGGTGCACTTGTTTCATAATGTGCATACTTACCATCAAGATTTTAACAATGGTAAAAGAATGATAAAGATGTCGACTGTGACATGTTTTGTCATTGATTTATGATTTTTTGCTTTGTAATGCAGTTCATAGATTTTTCCTTGGTATGCAATGAATTCCCATCTGTATGGACAAATTAATGTTTTGCCCTCCTCACAAGGGCACACCAAATTAAAGAGAAGGTTACCCTACCCCAGTCTATGGTCTGCATGAGATCACCTGAATCAACATAAACCACACTATACATCCATGGTCTTTAATGATTTACAGGTTGGAAATTAATGTCGACGAATTTAACAACACATAAGTATCAATATATTACGAAAGTTTGTATCCACCACACAAATGTTCCTCTCTTTCCTACCTTAAAACTGTACCTCTCCAGTCATAAAAATGAACAAGAGTCAGAAAATTGAGACCATCTATCCATTAATGAACAACATATAAAAGTGAAGTCATTACTACAAACCCCAACAGAGAAAAGAGATAAATAATAAAGAAAAGCTATTCCTACTTCTGAGATTTCAGTGGTTTTCCGATCTAGGGTTCAGATTTAAGGGTCTAGGCAATGTACCCGAGTAGCCAATTCCCTTGCGAGTGGTAGGGAAGATCATGAACACCACACTTGACGAGAACACAAACCCAAGCGGCAGATTCACCAAGAAATCTCTGGTGCTTTCCCTACTACTTGGAAGCAAACACTCTTGAACAGTTGCATCAGCAAAAGCAATACTTAGAAACAGCAAACAAGAGAAGGCGGCGTGGACTATGTCTCTCGGACGGATTGCGAACTTCTTCAACCAGCTTGTGTCTGGCTTCGCAGAAGCCCCAGTGGCTTCATTCCCGTTGGCGTTTGGTTTCTTCAGAAACTCGTCTCTTTCGTCGTCATCGAAGATGTAAAGACCTTGCCAGGTGGCAAAGCCGAAGTAGATGGTATTGCCATCCTTGCCACCGATATAGCTGTCTGTGAATGAGAACAAGCAACAAGCGAGAGTGCAGAGCCCTATGAGGGCCACAGTGAGGTACTTATTGGCGGTGTGACAAGTGCCATGGTTGGAGAAGGATGGGAGGAGGGATTGGAAAGCAAAGACAGTTCCAGTTGGCAGGAGCTGCGCTAGGTTGGTTGTTACCGACCCAATAGTTGCACTTGCTTTTGGGTTCTGGGTTGGTGGTTCAGAGCCATTTTCAAGGTCGTCTGGGTTTCTAGCCATGTTCTATTATTGAACAATATACACAGAGACAGATGGAGGGAGAGAGGGAGGGATTGTTGCGAAGTTGTGAAGGTGTGGTGGAAATATAGATGTGTATTTATGCGAGCATGGCCTAAGACAAATCAAGCTAGTTTCTGCCATAAATTGTTCGTCTTATTATGAGAGTTGATCTTGACTGTGTGGATGCATGGAAAATTCAAGTCAAGAAGGTAGTTCCTTCTGTGGATGGCGGGGTTGGACCATCTTTGTCCATGGGTGCTGTATGGATGGTGTTTGTGGCCCTCATTGAGAGGGCATGAACTGGTCCTAATCTCGTATTAATTAACTGAAGTCCCCATCTCGCTAGTTAATTACTTCTTTCAACAAATGGCTGGAAGTTTGATGTAGTTGGACTTTAATTTGTAAAATTCAGAGGCCAATTCTCTATCCACCATGGCATTTCATCAGTAGTATTTCATCAAAGTTTCAGTTTACAAGTGAAAAGTTTCTTTTTGTCTGTTTATTATTTATCAACTTTTGTTTTGGAAAAGTACCGTCTACTTTTCATTGAGAAGCTTCTCAAGTGGGGCCCTAGCTAGAAAATTTTGCTAACCATTTGGACCGGCATATCCATTAGTTTGGAAAGTGTTAGGTTTTCAATGGATTGGGTTTGGGATGTACCTTACATGGTAGCTTAATTTTTTTTCAAAAAGAAAGTAAGATCTTCAAGCTCTTTGCTAGTTAGAGGCCTTCTTAGCCCATCGGGTAAATTTAAGTACTTTGAGAAAAAAAAAAGTGTTCAAGTAATTAACCTAAAAATGATGCACGTCTCCACACCGATTCGACCCGGCCCATATATAGAGTCTTAAAAAACTAGACCCGGAGTCAATTAAACTTATGATTTTAAAAAATGATTTAGAAATAGAATCATTCTAATCATCGGTTTTGAGATTGACAGTTCAACCGTCTGATTTAAATAAATGGCCCAATCATTAATAAAATAAAAAAATAATTAAAAATAAAAAACAGCCAAAAATCATAAATGAATCAACGGTTTAACCACTTAAGTCAACGAATGATTAATTCAACGGAGTAAAATGAAATTTTAATTGCCTGAACGATATAAGGTCAAATTGTCTCACCATCCAAGTCAACGGCGGTTCTAAAACCGTGATTAAACGAATTATAACTCACAAGCCTTTTAGTTTTGTGCTTTGAAAAATAAACCTGCTACGTGTTAATTTCTTCTCAAATATCATGTAAAAGTAAACGTTGGGAGCGTTTTATGTATATAATCAGTTTGTGTCTTAATTGAGGTACGACAAACAAAACCAACCCTGACCTATTAACTTTTTTTTGGAAAAATAAGGTATCAATTAAAAGGAAAGAAATGGTCATACAAGTCGTACAGTAGAGAAAAGACGTGGAGGGCTAGCTCAGCAACACAATGCAGATTCTGATGTCCACTTCCACCGTAGAGTTATAAACATTTAAAATATCAAAAACTTATACTTTTACACCAATACCTTCTCGTTAATTCAAAAACTCCCATTTTATACATCAATGCCTTGAATTAACATCAATTTCGAGTTAGCACTCACTCCAACTGTAATTTAGGTCTAAAAATTCTAACACTGGGCTGACAGCCTGCAGCAAAACCCAAACAAGATAAGTCTACGCCCACCAGAAAACAGACCACAAAACTAAGGGACAACCTCGACCCCACATCGAATAAAATCACAACCTGTAGCTGTGTTTGGTTACAACATGGTTTTTAAAAACGAACCAGTGACCGAACCAGTCCGGGGTCCGGTTACCGGTTCGAATGGTCTGATTGTTCAACCCGAACGACCGGCCTGTTCTGACAAAAAAATTAAAAAAATTAAAAAATGGAAAACGGTCAAAACGGTTTGAACAGTTAACCGGCTAGTTCAGCGGTTTGCAAACCAAAATCAACAGTTTTGGAGGAAAACAGAACCAACCGGTTCCCATTTTTCCGGTCCAACCGTCTGATCCGGTCCGATTTTGAAAACAGTGGTTTACAGTGCAATTTTATTTGCACTAGTACAAATGTATACAAGTACAAATGGAAAATATAAATTTTGGTTTAATTTTGCTTTGGACTTTACTTTATTCTACTTTGAGTCTTATTTTACTTCATTTTTATTGCAACCAACAAAGTAAGGTAAAATTTTAAACAAAAATAAATCAAAATTTGCACCCAAATCATTTACACTACCATAATTTTGTTTGGAAATGGGGTCACTGAAACTTTGGAGGAGAAGCTCTGAGGCGCGTCTGAAGACACTGTCTTTAGAACGTTATTTGCCCCCACTCAGTTTCATTGAGTTTGCTATTGGGTTATAGGCAAATCCGTTTCCAGGATACAACAAAGCTTTGGGCGAGAATCTGCAACCAGCAAAGTTGAAGAACCTTCGAAGAAACCTTCTATGAGACTGTAGCAGGCCAGACTGAGAAAGAGAGAGAAAAAGTAGATTTCGAAAATGTGTGTATTTTTGAGAAGTCTGATTCATGTTCCTTAAATAGTTTATGAAGAGATATGAAGAAAAGGTAGGTGCTAGTTCAGATAAGGTACCTTGAACAGAAAAGATAGGTGGTGCTCCTTAAATAGTTTATTGTACCTCTTAATCACACTTGATCGAATCGTGACCGTTGATCTCATCAACAGTTAGCATCGCACCAAAACCAAAGCCGCCCTTCACGAGCCACGCGGGTGCGAGCAAAGTGCACCTCTAAAGCGCCTCATTGCGCCGCACACACGCACACACACGCATGCACGCATGTTGCGCGGTATCAAACCTCCATGCTCTCCTCTACTATTTCTAAGGAGTGTAAATCAGCTCCTATTAAAATATTGAAAATAAAGCTTATAATTTTCCAATGTGGGACAAGTTCAAAACTAAGTTTTATAAGAGAAAAGCTAATTTTCCAAACAAGTGTGCAGGTGCAATTTCTCATGTCACTGACCAATCAAACCCATTATATATAATCTCTTATGAGATTAAAATCCAACAAATTTTATATAAGTGCAAATGAATTTGCACAGCAACCAAATACAGCCACGAGGACAAGCCACCACTTAAATAAGGAGTGAGGATCTTCCTATGCCTCTTCTTCCCCTCCCTCTCGTACAGCACCTCTAGAAATGGGCTTGGCTACTACTACATCGTAAAAATCTTCAATGTTTTTGGACCTCCTACCTGGGAGGGTGGGAGATAATCCAAAACTATCAATAGAAAACACCAAAGCTAGCACTAAGAGAATTAGAACCAACCTCCGAGATAGAACTGCTATTCAGAACTACAGTTGTGACGCAGCGTGGAAGCAATGAGAACCGGAGCTGGCTATGCAAGCACCGGGCATTCGCTAGCACCTAACGAAAACACCGATTTCTCTAGGAGAGAGAAAAGGTGGCGAAAATAGGAGGAAGATAACTTGAAGAAATTCTGCAAATCTGAAGTATGAAATTGATTCATAATTCTRGGAAATAGCAGTATTTATAATACATTGAGAAATTATAAAAGAACTAGGAAAAGAAATTAGATTTGATCTAAACATCTCAAACTTGTAGATAGGATCGAACTCTTCTTGACTTGATCT